TTGCTCGTGACACAAACTATCATACCCACCCTCCTGCTGTGTTCCCTTACTTTCACTGACTCAACCTGCAGCTAAATCTTCTCCATGATCATTGCCATGAAAATTAAGTTCTCTGCTGTGGAATCCTAGGCTTGATCAAAGCTATATCATTTTATAAACCATTACAAAATGGTTTTCAATAAGTTTTGCAAATATGCCTACCACCAGAGATCCATAATGGGGGGGATTTGGGGGATGAGCTGCTGGAGAGGAGCTCTGCAGAGAGGGACTTGGGTATCCTGGTGGACGACAGGTTGGCCATGAGCCAGCAGTGTGCCCTTGTGGCCAAAAAGGCCAATGGCTTACTGGGGTGCATTAAAAAGAGCATGGCCAGCAGGTCAAGGGAGGTGATCCTCCCCCTCTACTCTGCCCTGGTAAGGCCTCATCTGGAGTACTGCGTCCAGTTCTGGGCTCCCCAGTACAAAAAAGACAAGGATCTCTTGGAAAGAGTCCAGCGGAGGGCCACAAAGATGGTGAAGGGCCTGGAGCATCTCTCTTATGAAGAAAGGCTGAGTGAACTGGGTCTATTTAACCTTGAGAAAAGAAGACTGAGAGGGGATCTAATCCAGGTTTATAAATATCTGAGGTGTGGGGGCCATAGTGGTGAGGCCAGTCTCTTTTCAGTGTTGAGTGGAGACAGGACAAGGGGAAACGGCCAGAAACTGCAGCACAGGAAGTTCTGCACAAATATGCACAAGAACTTCTTTACAGTGAGGTGACGGAGCACTGGAACAGGCTGCCCAGGGAGGTGGTGGAGTCTCCTTCTCTGGAGATGTTCAAGACCTGCCTGGATGCCTACCTGTGCGACCTGCTGTAGGGAACCTGCTTTGGCAGGGGGGTTGGACTCGATGATCTCTGGAGGTCCCTTCCAACCCCTACAATTCTGTGAATTCTGATGACAGAAAAATTAAACTCTTTTCCTGCAAGAGTAAGCAGTGAAAACAAGTCTTTCACTCAGTATTTCAGATCCATTTAGGTGCTGTATTTGGACATGTAAACTCAACACCAGAAGCACAGGGCTTGTGCCTTTTCCTCATGAATTCCAGATTTTCGTGTGTACCAATAAAAACATGGACTGGAAGAATATGCAACTACAGAGTCAACAAGTGATCATTCTCTAAGAGGTGTTCCAGCACCACACACAACACCCTCTGAGCAAAACATTTCTTCCTTAATTGCTTCTCAACTTTAATGGTACTTTTTCCCTCGTCAAAGATTACTTTTAAGTAAAGAACACCTCAGGTTTTAAGTAGTTGGCATACACACACAAGTGGAAGTTACACATCAACAGATAAGAACCAGAGCAACTCAATGCAAATTTTTTCACAGCATTGTTTGTCTTTCAGTCCAGCCCTTCCCTATAACAGCACAACACATTAAGAGGGCTCTGTGGTACCACAGGATGGCCGATCTCTTGTCTGTTGCAGACATCAGGTGCAAGTGTAAATAAGGATTATACAAATGGGAGGTCATTAAAAGTCTGGTAATGCTAATTTGGCATGACAACCTTAATGGGTTATATCTTCATACTTCAGTTATCTAATCACCTAAATTCTTTTAACAAATTTACATTTAATCATACAAATGGAAATTCAAATTGACTTGTTTAATTCTCCACCCAAACTGCACCCATCCTCAGTTCATCTAATATATTAAATATCACCATCCATTTTGGGATCAACTCCATGCACATACATACACTCAAAGATACTGCATTTGTGCCTGGCATACAAAACCTCCTGTGTCTAAATATCATTTTTCACAAATGTTTCAGATCTCATGAGATCCACAACCGCATGCACATATTATCAGCAACAGTATGTGAACTTGAAATGCATCTTGTTGGTAGGATGCTTCCATTTTCCCAAGAGAAGTGAAGGAAAATAAAGTGATTTTTAAATCAATAATCTTAACGATTCTATGATTCTATGTGATGTTTCAATCAATGTAGATGACCAGGAGGTTTTACAGTTTTTTCTGAGAAGCTGTTCACTTTTTCTGGCTTGTTCAGGTAAAATAGCACAAGAAAAATGCTTTAAATTGTTCACATCTTCTCCATAGCACTGAGAATTTATTTTGCATGGAAGATTCGGTGCTGCAATTCAGGCTGCTGTCTTAGCTCAGAATCCTCATGAACTAAAGATGAACAAACAACATATAGCAAAAAAACCAACTGGACTACATGAAGATAAATCTAAAGTAACCCCTACGGTAACTACACTCACACAGGGAAAAAAGAGCCACATTTAATTAGATATGCAGCTATCTAACATAACCAGCTCTCCATGATAACACCCTATATTTAAATCAATACATTCTTGTGTATTTTGGTAATGCACTTTTCTAAACAACAACAAAAAAAAACTAGCCAAAGGGATGCTTACTTTGTTTTCACTTGTGGAAAACGCATGCAAAAGTCAATTCAGAAGCAAGCACAGCTATCAACTGTACTCACGCAGACCTGAAGTAATTGCATAAGAGTCATTTTGTTTATGCAGTAGCTATATACTGGCTCCTGAAATAGATTTTGAACTAGTAACTGATGAGCTGGACCAATAAATGCATAGAACTGCCTGGATAGATACTCTTTCCTGAACTGGGAGCTTAGGTAATAACTTTTGATGACAGCAAGAAAACCTGAACGCCTTCAGAAATACCAGGAATGATTTGTTTCGTTCAAAATGCCATTTTCAACAAATACCTGATAAAGAACAACCAACCATGACCATTAGTTCCCACATAACAGCAAGCATACAAAATGTGAGATAGGTAACATTTTCTGATCGGTTTCCTCACTGTAAGATGCATTCCTATCAGCAGTAGTTTAAACAGGCCAGGTTGGATGGGGCCCTGGGCAGCCTGGTCTAGTATTAAATGTGGAGGTTGGTGGCCCTGCCTGCAATTGGGGGGGGTTGGAACTTCATGATCCTTGAGGTCCCTTCCAGCCCAAGCAATTCTGTGATTCTATGAAATACAAATTGGGAATTCTTTTAAAGCATTTTACAGACATTTAAAAAATATCCTGGGATAGCAGGAGTGCTAGTGTGAGGTGACTGGACACTAAGTTATGGTAGGCTTGTAATAACTAAGCCCATTTACTCATTTATTATAATCACCAATGTTTTATGACTCTCCTTAATTATATGTACATAAGAAACTTCTCACAGCTATCTGGAAGGCTGCTAGCCCTTTCTTACATTATATTCTTTTTTGTTGTTGCTGCTGCCAGTTCCACTACTACCAATAATCAGAACTTAGTGTTCATTGCATGACTAAGGCAGTTAGGATAGCCAACATGCTGTTCAGTGTCTTCTCAAATAAGTGTATCTTGTTAGCATGAAGAAAAAAGAGAAGCTGCTCAGTTGCTATGCGTGTCTTACAGTCTCCACCACTGCCCTGCGAACACTTTCAATGAATACACTCAGCTCCACTCTCCAACCACAACGCTACCTCAATACACTCAGCTTCCTAGTACTCCATCTTTCCCAACTTTTGGTTGGACAAAGTACATGCCTGTAGATTGTGTCAAGCAACACCTATGCTAAGAGTCAAACCAAGCACATTGCAGCCATCTGCTCACCAGGGCAATACTTTAATCTCAGTCTTCTATATACAGTAGATATGTTGCATGCTTTTTAGAGGTACAGAGAAACGAAGATATACACCTTTAGACCAAGCCCTTAGGTGGGGAAAACAGACAGGTGTGCAGACTGCACAGGCCTTATGTCCAAGGGTGCCAAGATGTCTTCATACATTAAATCCAGATATGTTAAAACAGACTGAGGCCCAATGTCACACCAAGAGACATCCGGAAGCTGACTGCAGCTACTACAGGTTATCATTACTGAAAATCTTTTGCTGTCTGTAACCAAATTTGGTAGCAGAAGACAACAAAATGGTCACTTGAGACACACTGTCTTGGGTTTACACAGACACACACACCCTTGTTTCACCAAAAAAGATGCATTTGACACATACAGAAGAGAGCTAGAGCCTGAATTTTATGACGTAAACTGCAGATAAGTAAAAATTAAGCATGTACAGGATTGAAAAAGGTAACACAACACCACCTTACACAACCACCTACAGAGAAATGTACAAGCAAGAAACTTACTCTAATGTCTAAGGTTTTTTAACTCCATTGTTTTGACAGCTACCCTCTCCTCTACAACAAACTGAAATCTCCTGAATCTTAAAATGCAAAACGCTACACAGAGCTGCAAAGCTGCAGACACTTAATCAGTTAGACATACAAAGGACAAGGAGTAGTGCACAGAAATTAAATTGATATGAACTTTCCTCAGTTACCCCTCATTCAATTTCACAGAAACACATTACAAGTGTGTGTATATATAATCTTTAGAATGGATTAAAAGAAGACTTGCTTCATTTAAACAAAGCAGACAAAACCAAGATTATATTTTGTCTCCTGGTACGTGCTTAATGGCTAGAATTCTCTGCTCAAAGGCTGAGTTCCTTTTAATGTCTTGTGATAGCAATACCCAACAACAAGCCTAACTTCAGAGCTGTAAGTTGGCTACTCCATGGTAGGAAGCAGTTGTGCATCTGCAACTGACTTTCATGCTATTAATCAAGAGACAAAACTTTATCCCATCTCACCAGACTGTTACCAATATTTCTAATATTCAGTCCTTTACTTTGCAGTACATTCATTCCCCATGTTTAGGGTACACACAAACACACACAGTGCTGCTTCTGGCTCTAACTACAATGAGACACAGTGGAACAAAATTAGCTTCAAGTCTTAGTTGCTCTTGCTCCTGGAAAGTATTTATTTTTCTAGAGCCAACTGCTGCTCCCCTTTCGATGTAACGACTTCCTCATAGCCAGAGAGATTACCCACACCACTGATCACTTTATTACTTCATAATGGCTGTTTATTTACTTTAGTGCAGCAGTAACATGCAAGGGTAAAGCCTTTCACAGCTGGGCAAACTCACCATATTCCTTACGCAGGTGGTCTGGAATGTGGGGCTCATAACCTTCCTTCTCAGGGACCTCCACAAAGTCATCTTCATCATCATCTTCATCATCGTCATCTGAAGCTTTCATCTACAGAGATAATTATTTTTTTTTTTTAAATGTAAAGACAGCTTCTCATTTCCCTTTACACTGCAAATATTTCACCATGATTGCCCTACTGAGGCTCTCCATGTCAAAAGCATTTTCCTAATTATGTATTTAGTCTTCATCTAAGATTAGAACTTTGGTTAACATTTTATCTTTTAAGCCACACTTTATCCTAGGGGCTTCTTTAAAGACCCTTTTATCCATTACAACAGATGCAGTTGCTGAAGCTTGAGAAAGTGTGGAATTATAAAATAAAACAAAAAAATCTTAGAACAACATATAGGCTTTGACTTGATGATCAAATTAAAGTCTTATCTCTTCCCCTTTGCTTGATTTTACTCATTCAGCTGCCCTCAAATAGTCCACGGCATGTTACCTAGTATCACAGGGGTTCATAAACAGAGCAGACAAATGGGACAGGAATCTGATGGATTGGACAGCTAATACTGACCGAAGTCAGAACATGCAGCTACATCTGTATGCTAGTGTTTAACTGGGTTGCTTTGCAGCAGCACTAACAATGCTGACAGTACAAATTCATATGCACAAAACCTAGAAAAAAAATTTTAGAACATAATTGACAGGCTGAAACATAGAAATGGAGTTTCTACCAATTAACCAGGTCAATTAACACACATAAGTGGCTTCCTACATTTCATTTCAGCCAGCTACTGCTATATATGGCCAAGCAAGCCTCTACAATTTGTTCTAAGTTTGTTTCACACCGAAAAATGATTTATTTCTGCCATAGTACACGAAAGGTACAAGAATCTGTGAGACCTCAAACAAGGTCTGTACTATCAGAACTACACATATGAAATAGCAAGTGTTGCCTAAAAGGTACCAGTTAAAAGGTACCAGTGCTGAAGGTTTTGTCCACCTCTGGAGTCACCTAAATATAAACAACACCATGATTTGCACATTATCATATGCTTGCCATGCACTTTTATAAGTTGAGGATGCAATAAGGGAGTACTGACTAAAAGCAACCTTTTCACAGAGCTCTCTATCACTCTTTTCAACTTCACTGCAACAAGCCAAAGCTATAGATAAGGAATTGCATCATTTTTTACTATTTTCAGCTATGTTTTTGCTTTCCTGCTATACCTGACTGCTGTTGATATTCATACCAACTACTCATTGAACACACACAGGAGGATACCACAGGTTTTGCCTGCAGCAGAATTTTCCCAATTTAATTCACTACTCTAATCGTGTGTCACAGTTGAGTTCCTTTAAATCATACATACACTCTGAATCAAAAAAACTAGAAACCAATTTGATTTATTGAACATAGTTTAAAAATAAAAAAAGTCAGCACTTCTTCAGTGTTACTTGCAAACTGGATTGAAACTCATTTCTAGTAAGCAAAATTAATTGCTATTAATATGCACTTTTAATGAAAGGATGGCACAAGGCTGAAGTATGATTCTTCCTTTTCTTTAAAAAAAAAAAAAAGACTTTGAACTAAGATCTGCAGTTCCAGATGAAATAAAAAAAGACAAAAAAAAAAAAGATTTATTCTCTTGAAGAACAGAACACATTTACCAGACCACGCCACCACACACAGAGAATACCTAAACAGCCTTTATTTTGAAATAAAGTCCTAGCACAACCATGTTTGAAAGAAGCCTGCTGCCAAAGAGAAGCAGCACACCCACAACACAGCCCCATTGCCACTACCTCCCATTGGCAAAGAGCGACTTGCTGGGCTACGTGGAAGATGCCTACCTTACATCCTAGCTTACTTTAATCCCACTGCAATTGTTTCTTCTCATCTAAAGGAAAGATGCAATTCAGGCCCTACCTGGCATGGCCAAGACAGACTCATGCTGAATCTGATCTCCAGCAGAAATCAAAATAGAATTCTAATGCGAAAAAAATAAAGTCAAATATTCTACCACTAAAACTTGCGAAGGCTGAACATGAGAAAGAAGAGCAGCTGTGTTACACTGCAACTTTTAGAAAATCTTCCCGATGGTATTCAGAAAGGAAAACAACAAAGCTCTGTATTCTGCACACCACGAGAGGGCTAAAGACTGACATTAGTTTGTATCTTGATTTTAAAATTCTACTTGTGTTGTTACCCCTTGTTACTTCCTAGGGGTAATTCAATGAAGGTTGGCAATAACACCCATTACTATTCCTCCAGCTAGAAACAGAGCAACATTTAATTTTCCATATGCAGGTTTCACTTCTCATTTAGCTATTAAAGAAGATCAAGCCAAGCCCAAACTTGCTATGGATGACCTTGGCCTGTTTGTTCTATAGCATAAAAGCAGAACAACATTCACTTTGCGCTGTTATTTTCTCTGTTTTGCATTTCCATGGCTTTTACTTAGCATTCTGTATACACCTCAACAGCAACAAGTATAAGGAACCAAGAAATAATGATAAACTAGCAAAAGAAAACTCAGTTCAGACAGAACATTTAACTTAATAGACCTAAGGTAGAACACAAGCACTCGTGTGCATGACAACCTGAGAGGACCAGAAAGAATCCACAAGAATTCCATCTGTAGCTGGAATTTCCTCTTTCTTTTTTCACGTGCTATTGGAGATGCATAGACCTCTGAACATAATATACTAACATGCAGAATGCTTTGCTAACCCTCAGCTTGAAAACTGCATTGGAAGCAACTTTCCTGTATTACCTGCATGCTCTCAAACTTTAGAGCACGTGAACAGCCTGACGGAGAGAAGGCATAATCAGATGCAAATTCACTTTGTTTAGGTATAATCCATGAACTGTGCATTTGAGTACTATGGAAAACATTAATCATAGGAAACTGTAATTTTTGTTATCAGTCTAACACTAATCAAAAGGGAAACCTGTCACTGCCGCTGACCTGTGAAACGTCCCAATTATACTCTGCGGAAATGACAGGAGCACTTAACTTCCTCACTGAGTAAATGACGACGATCAATCAAGTTTGAATAACAATGAGCCACGGAGCTGAAAATTATTTTTTGTATAGAATCTACCCAGGAATTTATGAAAGGTGAAAAGCAACCCAAGGTTTTAGGGGCATTATGGCTTTCAGCTAGTGCACTGCATATCAAACACTAAACAGAATTTATGTGTTTTAATTTTCTAAAAGGTAGATGTGGACTTGGTGCTACAATGCATAACATATAATGCCAGATTTTAAATATGGGGGTCATTTTCATAAAATATTATGCTTATTGTTCACACCCTTGAATTTCACTGGGGTATCCTATTAAATTTAGATTTCCTGTAAAAAAAACAAAAAACAAAAACAAAAAACAAAATTAACTGCTTAGCTAACTTTCAGGAATTAAGTCCCCTTTTTAATTCAAACAGACATAAAATCTTTATTTTGATAACATCTTTAACAAGACAACTTATCTTTTTTGCTCTCAAATATAAAACTCATCACCAGTGGAGACTCAAGAAGTCACTCAGTGGCAGTGGCTAGTTCCATCTCAATTTATGGCACTCCAGCAGTACTTCAGAGCCATCCCACTGATACTGTTTTGTTCCATTCCCTTTACACAGAAAGGAGGAGAGTGTGTGGGCAACAGCATTGGTCAGAAATGTCTTTTTTTTTTTTTTTTTTCCTCCAATTCCACTTTTCAACCATGAGCAAAGTTCCACAGCAAACTCTACAGATGCTGTTTGAAAGTTCATCCACTTGTTACCCATGTCCCCACTATAGATAAGCTTTTCAGGCAATTGCCATGAATTACCAACTATTAAAATACATATTTAAGAGATGTGTTTTTGTGACAGAATAAGTTAGAATCCTTAGGAATGAGTAGTTAGACACTCACAAATGTGAAAAACAAGACTGATAAAAACAAACACTACACCATTTGTAGTGTTCTATACTGGAAGAAGTGTAATGTATAAGCTCAAGTGATAAATACTAGAAGGCGAAGCTTTTCTTGCAGCTTACAAAACTAAACAACTCTATGCAGCCATGCAACGAGCTGTTACTAAACAAGCTGCTAAGGAACGTGGGGGAAAATATCGTGTTCTCAAATCCGTTTCAATTACCAGGTGATACAAAGGAAGTCCCTAGCTTAGTTGAGCAGCTTGGAAGAGAGAAGGTGAGCTAATGCTTTCCCTCTAGTGCTACAGGATGGTCTGCTGAAGGAAGACCAAACAGATTCCCACACATCAGCAGCTGCGTGCACATCTCCTGATCACCAATTCTGATGGGAAGATTTTCAGCTCAGTGTTGAACTGCTCTGCACCTACAGTGACAAAGCAGTAGTTTTCTTGAGTAGATACCTCACTGTGCAAGGAAACAGGATTTTGCTGGGCACTTTGCAAATCTGGGGGCTGAACTGATTTGAAAATGAGAATACAGTAAAACAAACAAAAAATGAAACACGGAAACCCATATATTATTTTCATTGCAACCAGTTAGCACGTTCCTCAATTCTCCAAATTTTCATTAAAAATTTAAAATAGTGGTGACCTCTCCAGCAAGACAAGCACAATCAAGCCATTTGTTCCCTAATCACAGCTGTTTCCTAACCAATCTCCACCTAAACAAAAAAAAACCAACAACTGAAAACAGATACGGTATGTCCCCAGAAATGCAATCCTATCTTGTACTTTGGAGTTATCATTCCAAGAGCCCAGTGGTTAGTGTAGCTCAGCACAGTTAAATGTCTTGCTCCGTCATCCCAACTAGTTATAAATCTAAATAAACAGAATCATAGAATCCTTAGAGTTGAAGAGACCTCTGACAGCCAACTAGTCCAAGTCCTCTGCAATAATATGGAAATAAATTAATTAAAACAACACAGAATCTTCACCCACCATATGCCACATTGAAATACGCAAGGGAAAGCCTTTGGTCCTCTTCCCAGTTTTATACAAATTGATTGTTACTTTCTATTAAGAGGCTTTAAAAACTCCGAGCCTCTGCAATCATAATTAAATTAAGCAATAAAATGACTGAAATACAATGCAATCAGTTTACAGATGTTCAGCATTCATTAATTAT